TCCTGTGTCCCATACCTACCCACGTGCATCCCTGCACTCCCTCCCTCTTGCTGCAGAACAAGATTCTGGGCATGGTGTACGACTTCGTTACGAAGCAGGTGTTCGACATCACCATCATGATCCTCATCTGCCTCAACATGGTCACCATGATGGTGGAGACGGACGACCAGAGCCAGCTCAAGGTGGACATTCTGTACAACATCAACATGGTCTTCATCATCATCTTCACGGGCGAGTGTGTGCTCAAGATGCTCGCCCTGCGCCATTACTACTTCACTGTCGGCTGGAACATCTTTGATTTTGTGGTTGTCATCCTGTCCATTGTAGGTGAGCAGGGCTGGGCTGGGCTGAGTCGTTTGGGAAGGCCGGGTGCTCCCATCGCCATGTACACATATCTGCTCATGCACCTGGCATGCTCACACACATAGTCACACATACACACATACATGTGTACCTGGCATTCACACTTAATGCACAAATGCACAGAAAGGTGGGCTCGCAGGCCGCCTGTCACCTGCACACACATGAATACACCTCCAGAAACATTCACCTGACCAATAGGCACACACTCAGGTGTCCATATGCTCAGGCGAAAACATTAAGAAGACTGTTTCAGTTTCCATACACACTGGAGAAGTGTGCAGACATGTGTGTACTTATGATAGGAGGTAGCCTCCATTTATTGGGCATTTACTATTTACCTGATGCTGCTATGCATTTGGTAGGCTTTAGCTCACTAATTGTTCATAACAATGCCATGGTATAGTTATCACTATAGGTATAGTTATCACGTCCATTTTACAGATGAGGAAACCGAGTCAGAAACATTAAACGACGTGCCCAGAGTCACACACAGAGCTGTCCTCTCTCTCTCCCTCCCTCCCTCTCTCATCTATGGCATCTAAAAACAGCCTTGGGAATGGACCTCACCCTAACCCCTTCAACTTCAGCATATCCCACCTCTGTCAGCTGTGTCGGGGCAAAGATGTAGTCCCTGGTCCCTGAGACCCCTGGGAGAGCCTGCTCTAATGGGTGAGGCCATTGGGGCTATGCCCCAAGGGTTGAGCTTGTACTGCCCCTTCTTGGGGAAGAGCATACCAGGCTGGGCCCCCTTAAGCCCCACATGCCCCTCACTCCCTAGCCCAGACTCCCACCCTAGGGCAGCCATCCTCACCACTTCCTCCCTGCAGGCCTTGCACTCTCCGACCTGATCCAGAAATACTTCGTGTCACCCACACTGTTCCGAGTTATCCGCCTGGCGCGGATCGGGCGTGTCCTGCGGCTTATCCGTGGAGCCAAAGGCATCCGGACGCTGCTCTTTGCCCTCATGATGTCCCTGCCTGCCCTCTTCAACATTGGCCTCCTCCTCTTCCTGGTTATGTTTATCTACTCCATCTTCGGCATGTCCAACTTTGCCTACGTCAAGAAGGAGTCGGGCATCGATGACATGTTCAACTTTGAGACCTTCGGCAACAGCATGATCTGCCTCTTTGAGATCACCACATCAGCGGGCTGGGATGGGCTCCTCAACCCCATCCTCAACAGTGGGCCCCCCGACTGTGACCCCACCCTGGAGAACCCAGGCAGCAGCGTCAGGGGCGACTGTGGCAACCCCTCCATCGGCATCTGCTTCTTCTGCAGCTACATCATCGTCTCCTTCCTCATCGTGGTCAACATGTACATCGCCATCATCCTGGAGAACTTCAATGTGGCCACCGAGGAGAGCAGCGAGCCCCTGGGCGAGGATGACTTTGAGATGTTCTACGAGACGTGGGAGAAGTTCGACCCCGACGCCACGCAATTCATCGCCTACGAACGCCTCTCTGACTTCGTGGACACCCTGCAGGTGCCGCTGAGGATCCCCAAGCCCAACAAGATCAAGCTCATCACGCTGGACTTGCCCATGGTGCCTGGCGACAAGATCCACTGCCTGGACATCCTCTTCGCCCTGACCAAGGAGGTCCTGGGCGACTCGGGGGAGATGGATGCCCTCAAGGAGACCATGGAGGAGAAGTTCATGGCCGCCAACCCTTCCAAGGTCTCCTACGAGCCCATCACTACCACGCTCAAGAGGAAACACGAGGAGGTGTGCGCCATCAAGATCCAGAGGGCCTACCGCCGGCACCTGCTCCAGCGTTCGGTGAAGCAGGCATCCTATATGTACCGCCACAGCCAGGACGACAGTGGGGACAGGGCCCCCGAGAAGGAGGGGCTGATCGCCAGCACCATGAGCAAGATGTACGGCCCTGAGAACGGGGACAGTGGTATGCAGGACAAGGGTGAGGAGAGGGGCTCGACAGGGGATGCTGGACCTGCTATGGGGCTCACACCCATCAGCCCCTCAGATGCTGCCCCCGCTCCCTCCTCACCCCCGGCGCAGACAGTACGCCCAGGGGTCAAAGAGTCTCTGGTCTAGCAGGCAGCAGCAAGGTGGCCAGCTGAGCCTGGCTGAACCCCAAAGTTCCCCCCCAAACTGCTCTTTCACTGAGGAAGCAGGGCTTTGAGTGTGGAACTGATCCAGCTCCCCGCTGGGGACAGGATGTCGCCATACTGGGGCTGACACCCAAGCTGGAGCACCTGCCTCTCTAGGCCCTGAAAAAGGGAAATGGCCATCTGAGGCCCCACGCTGGGCCTGAGGCCCCTGCCTCCCTGATTTCACCTTCAAGTTGCTCTCACCCCGTCATGGGCCCTGCTGCCCCTCCTCTAGGCCTGGGGGGAGGTCACAAAATCAGAATCTCTGACTCCTACTTGGGGAGGAGCCAGCCCACAATGGAGGGGTTGTCTGCCCTCCTACCCCCAGTCTTAAGGGCTGCTGGCCTCTCCCCAGGAAGTGGCTCAGGCCCCCCAGGCCCTCCTGGACAAAGATGTCTTAACCTCAGTGAAGCAGACACCTGACGCCAGGGCCTGCCAGCCCTCCCCAACTCTGGGATGCAGCTTCACCTGCCAGCTAGAGAATTCCCTAGAAAAGGGAAGTGTCACTGGCCCGAAATGGCTCCACAAGCCTGACTGGCCACTGGATCCTAATGCATTGGGCTGGGGTTGTGGCCCCTTTCACCATTTCCTGGTGTGTCCGCTGTCCAGGCTTCTGCGCCCCTGGCTGGCCCCTGGGGGAAGAGCGCAGGGGATGATTGCCTTTTTTCTAAGAAGCACAGATGGGCGGTACAGGTTGGGTCCACCATATCGCTGCACTGGAGGCTCTTCTCGGCCTGAGCACCCAAACCTGGGGAGGGGTTGGGGTCCCCAGCCCTCAGGAGGAAAAGTCTTGTTCCCTCCCTCCCTTCCTCACCCCTCATCCTTTTGTCCCCCACTTCAAAGTGATCATAAGAATGTTATGTTGAGCCCGTGTTAGAGATTCCCCACTGAGCTATATACATGGCCCACCTGGTTCAGGCCCAACCTTCCAACTTCCTGCTGCCTGGATAGCTGGGCGACACTCCTGCTGGCACAGCTGATCTGGGCATAGCAGTGCCAGGCCTCCTCTGGCTCCCGGAAAACAGACAGAGGTTGAACTTGGAGGCAGGGGTGAAAGACCTGCTCAGGGGTCACTGAATTTATTCACCTGTGTGTGTGTGCTTGTGTGTATAGCTGTGCATGTGTTCAAGTGTGTGAGCCACTGTATCCCATGATGCCTGCATGTCATGTGTGTATGGGTATATCTGTGTAAATGTGTGTCAGTGTGCCCCTGCAGTGTCTGGCTGGTGTGTGTGTGTGTGTCTTCTGTGTAGGCTTGTCCACGCGAGTGTACCTGTGCTATGAGTGTGTGGACGAATGTGAACATGTGTGGTACGGTTGAGTCCCTGTTGGCCTTAGTTCCTCTTCTTTTCTTCTTGTTTCTTGTGAACAGTTTGATTAAAACTCAGGAAGCAGCAAAACCTCCAAAACAACATATGTGTGTGTGTTTGTGTGTGCACACACCCATAGGCCAGAGCCTTCCTTTCTGTCTGCCCTGCTGTCTGGCCGCCTCACTGCCCTGCCCGGGGGGTGTCACTCTCTCTCACTCCCCATGACTCCACTGTCCTCCCTCCCGCTGGTTCTCCGCATCACACCATTGCCCCAGCCCTGCTCCCCATCTCCTGCCTGTGTCCTCTGTGGAAGGAGGCCCCACTCCTTCCGTCTCTTCCTGTAGCAGTTGTGAATGTTCCTTCAGACGGTTCATCCTACAGGGGGGCAGCCTCCTCCTTGACCAGCACCCTGCCCACCACCTTGCCCTCCTCAGACCCTGGACTGGCATGGCCCCAAGAGCCTCAGCATCTGTTGGACTGGATATTCTTCGCCAGATTGTCTCCAGCTTGTAAAGCATCCCCCTGCCTGTGCCCCCTCCCCACCTGCAGACCCACACCCATTCACAGCAGGTAGGAACTGGCCCAAGCCAGGCCAGCAGACCGGCTCCTTTGTACAGTTCTTATAATAAATCTCCCCATGGTGCCTCTGACCTGTGGGCTTCTTCCTTCTGTGCCTTGAATATGGATGTCAATGGGGGATGAGGGGCAGCAAGAAGCAAGAAGGGCTGGTGGGAACTGGAACCAAGTAGAAAGACTTGGGGAATTTCTTGAGGGGTATCGGGGAGGGCAGGATAAGGAGGGCCCCAACTCCCTCCTGTGGCACAGTCTGGTTCTCTCCTGGCCCCTCCAAAAGTAAGCTTGGACTCCAGCCTCTTAGCTAGAGTCCAAGAAGCCAGACAAGGTCGGGAGTCACCTCCCTCCTTTCTTTTTTTTTTTTAAGATTTTTATTGGGGAATCGGGTAAAGGGGAACAGACAAGTTGCTGTTCTTTTGTTCTTCAGTCTAGTTGTGGAGGACGTTGCTTCACTGGCCCAAGTTGGCACCATCATTGCGCTCTTCCCGGGCGAGGCAGATCAGTCGCCGGCTTCTGGACAGCTGCTCAAGGCGGCCAGTGGCCGCTCACGCTGGCAGCCCAGCTCCAGGTCGAGCTGTTGTTCAGCATCTTAGCTGTGGAGGGCAGTGTCACTGGCCCTCATATGTGGGATCCGAACTGGGGCCCTCTGGCGTCCCAAGCCAGCTCTTAACCATCGCACCACTCGGCCGGCCCGCCTCACTCCTTTCTTAACAGGCAGTACCACACGCTCTCCCCGCCCATGGCAGTGTCCAGGAAATAGGTATTGGTTCCTGGCAACCCCAGGCCCTCCTCTCTGGAAGCCCCCTTCACTTCTCTGCCCCCCGAGAGGCCCGAAGTTTTCTGTGGGACACACAGCGGGCCCCTCCATCTCCTCAGAGATACTATCCCCCCCCCCCCCCCCCCGACTGCCTCTGACCCTTGACCTCAGAGAGCCTGTGACAAAGAGTAATGTTATGTAGTGAGGTTGGTCTATAATCCCAGTGGGTGAAATATAATTTTATATATAAATTTGTTTTCTACAACTTGATTTCTGATGCCCAGGCCTGTATTCCTCCAAACTGGTGAACAGCCCTTTTCAGGATTTCTACCCTCCCTTATCCTGTGTCCTGAGGTTACATGGCCCCCATGGGATCTAGGGAGGGGCACCCACAGACTGCCTTAACATCCCTCAGCCACGGTCCTAGCCATGTCCCCAAAGGGCCCTTTTCACCTGCTGTTCTCTTCCTGTGAAAGGAGAAATCTAGCATCCTTGCAGGGTTCTCTCAGCCCCCACCAGGGTGCTGATCTCCCTCCTTGAGGTCGTGGCTTTTTCTCACTTTAAGTTTCTCCAAACCATCCCTGGGACCCTCTGTGGCCCCAAGGACAGGAGAGCTGGCAGGGTGCTCCAGCCTAATCTTCCCCTGAGCCTTGAAGGGCAGAAGAAAAAAGGCAAAATACTAAGAAAAATAGACAACATAGGCTGATGTTTTGGAATCATCCCCCCTACTCCCCAGTTATCAATTGCTCATTGCCTTCTCGAGGGCGAGCTGTGTTTCCAGATGCCTCACCAAGCCCTGCAGGTAAAACTATTTCATTCCGGGCTCACAACTGCCCAATGAAAAACATATTATTACGATGATTTCTATTTTACGTAAGTGAGGAAATTTGATCTCTGAGAGGTTAAGAATGGGTGTGTGAGGCAGGGATTGTGAGACGCTGTCCCTCCCACGGCAGGCCCTTTAGCGCCCCTGGCCCATGAATGCCAGTGGCGCCGTTGTGTCCTCGTGACCTTCAAAAGGCCCTGGCACATTTCCAAATGCTGCCCGGGTGCAGCAGGACCACCCCTCATTGAGACCGACCAGGTAACTTGAGGAGACTTTCTGGCAGGTACACAGCAGGGCCAGTATTCAAACCTGGATCTTTTTTAGGCCTCCTCCCAGGAACAGAACCAACAGCCCAGGAATATAAACATCACCTGAGGTCAGCTGGGGAACCAAGTGGAGCCCGTGAGAGTGGACTGGGAGAGGAGCAGAAGTCTGAGCCCCTCTTTTCAAACTGAGGTTCTACCCTCTCCCATCCTCCCCAGGGTTGCGGGGGGTCCCTGCTCTATTGCTTCCCCAAACACCTGTGCCCCTTGTCCCCTAGCCCCACACCCCCATCTCTTGTTTTGATGCTGCCTTCCTAGAAAGATTAAGTAGGGGCTGCCAGATGCCGGGGTGTGCAGCCCAGGGTAGCCAGGGGCAGACGTGGGAGTGGGCTGAGGAGGCCCCATGTTCCGGGAAAGAAAAGGCGTCATAAACCCCGGACAGAGCTTGGTACTGTTGTCACCAAGGAGAGAACAGCACGGCCCCAACTGTGACAAATAACCCTGCACTCAGTGGGGACCTCCTGCCTCCACCCCCTCCTGAAAGCAGATCCCTGCCTGGCATGAATGGGAATGAGTCCAAAGGACACATCTGTGTCCCTGTCCCTGGGGTGGGGTGTGTGAGGTTGTATGTGTTTGCAGGATGCCAACCCTCCCCACCCCCTTAGCCTCTGTCCCCCTATAGTCACCCTGGGCCCCAGGACCTGAGCAGGCTCTGGGCCACACGGCCCAGGCAACACACCCGTGTGGACATACACATGTGCACATATACGTGTGTGCCCCAAGCCTTCCCCAATTATCCTCCCAACTTTAGTGGCGGGGGACACAATCCCCAAAGCTAAGGCCTAAATCGCCAAGAGGTACTTTGTTAAAGGAAGAGACCCCTAGATTTTTCCCTCTTTCTGCTGGGGTGTGTCCAAACACTCCCACCAGCACCCGGGGCCTGTGGTCCCCAAGCTGACCTCAGGCGATGTTTATAATCCTGAGCTGTTTGTTCTGTGAACTGAACATCTGACACCTTTTCAGGGAAATGTTTTTTCATTTGGAACATCTGGAAACTGTAAGAACATCTGGGGTGCCGGGAACAAGCTGCCCCTTGGATGAAACCTTAACCCCCCGTACCCGCTCTTTGCAGCACTGGCCCTGACCTGCACTCCTCTGAGATGGCCCCCACTGCTCCAGGTGAGGCCTATCTATGCCCAGGGCTAAGGGGGCAGCACCCAGACCTCCGCCTTTCCTCACTGCCAGCCCTGGCATGGGAGGCAGGCCCACGTCCACCTAAACCCAAACAGACCTACCAGCAGCACAAGCTGTTGGAAAACTGGAGGGTGATAGGGAGAATGTGAGGCAGGCAGAGGACATATAAGATTCAGCATCTTTCTTCCCCTCCCGGGAGTCAGGAGAATAGAGAGAGAGGAGACAAGAGAGAGACAAGAGGCTGCTGGGAAACCTAAAACTCAAGAGTGGGCTCTGCTGCAGGGCTGAAGTAGGCAAGCCTGCCATGTGCAGCTGTGCAGGTTGTGCACTGCACAAGGACCCCACCACAACCACTACGGGGCAAAGGTTGTGTCTGACTCAGGAGCAGGGATACCAAGTTGAGTTTAGACAAGCTCCTGATCACTGTTTCCATCCACCCGTCTGACTGGCAAGATCAAGCCAAAGAGCCTTTTAGTTTCAGAACCTTGAGGCTCCCCAACCCTAGCCTCCTATCCCCCACCCAAAGACACCTAGAGCTATGGATGTTTCAGTGCCCTGGGAGTACCATGATTGCTGAGTGATAGGTTTTCTCTAAGCCATCTCCACCTAAGTCCACCTCCCAACAGCTCCCAGCAAACTCTCCCACCAAGTACGGGAGGGAGGCCTCTCACCAGGGGCTGGACCAGATCTTCTCCCAAGTGGCTGCCACACTTGGCCTGCTCTTGCTCAAGAACCTCAGGGCTCCCTTACTCCATAGGGTCAAATCTCCATCAACCCCTAACATGGCTACCTGCACTCCAGCCAAGAGGCTGTACTCTGGGCCCCTCTGGGTGCCTGGCCTGGGCCCATAGCTGCCCCCCACCCCAGGACCCCCACACCACCCTTCCTTGGTGTTCCTCTTCCTGCACGGTGCAGGCTGGTTCAAGGCAGAGGGGCCACGATCAAGTTCATCTATAGGACCTGTGTATTCAGCTAAGCACCTGCAAATCTAGACTCAGAGATGGGAGGCTGGCAGGCCCCAGGGCATCAGTGGGGTGGGGACACATGGAGAAAAGCACAGGCTGCCGTGAGAGGACTTGGAGGTCCCTGCCCCCCAGGGGTGTTCACCAGGACCCGAACTGTGGTGCCCAAGCTGGGGTGACTTTTGAGCCTCAGCGGCACAGCTGACAAAAGAGCCCGCCCTTCCCCAGGGTCCCTAGAGATATGGTGCCTCCCCTGGGTCCTGATTTGCATGGCAGGAAGGGGCCTGATGGGGAAGGGGCGGGGAAGAGACAGGCTAGAGCCCAGACAGTTACACGTTTTCCCCCCAGGAACCTTGGTTGTCATCACGGGCTTGGGGTCAGAGACAGAGCGGTGACCATGGACAGGCTGGCATTGTCCCCGGTGCCCAGCAACTGGCTGGTGGTGTTGCTGCTGCTTCTTCCAGGTACAGCCATCTGATGAGGGCTGCTGGTTTCACTCTCTGTTTCTACTGGTTCTGTCTCCTGCCTCCTCCTGTCTCTCACACTTCTGCCTCCGGTCTCTCTCTGACTGCCCTGGGGCCTAGGTCTGTGGGTATCAGTCATACTAATGGGTTCAGGGGTCTGAGGCCCTCCGCTCCTTTCCCACCTGGAGGTGTCAGGCTCAGGCGAGGGGTCAGTGGCCCTGACCACGGAAGAGGCAGGCCAGGGAGGAAGAGAGAAGAGAGTGTGTGTGGTTCACCCCCAGGCCCCTGAGGGCACTACATGGGGGAGGCAGGGGAGAGGCTGATCCCAGTCAGACCCTGGGATGTACATGTTCTGGAAATGGTCCCTTCTGAAAGCTGGGAGAGTCCTCCAGGTGTGACTTCTCTCCTGTCTCATCCAGGGGCCTGCTCAAGCAGAAGGGGGGCTGGGAGGCAGATCTTCTGGGGACCCCACTCCAGTCCTCTCTCTCCAGATAAGGGCTGGGGAGGGCTGAGGGGTCTGGAAGCTGCTGTTGGGGAGGCGGAAGTGGGTCTGGGAATGCGGAGGGAGGGTGTGCAGGGGAGAGAGGGTGTGCAGGGGTGGGGCAGCTAGCTCTTCAGAGAGGTCCTGACCTGGCCCCGCCCACTTCCTCCCAACCAGCAGGTGAGATGGTGGCAAAAAACCCAACAGTGGAGCAGCACCAGGATTCTGCAGGTCAGCAACTTCCCCTGCCCTTTCTGGGGGTAAGGATATCTGTGTTCACCACCAGTCACTGTCCCTATGACTGCTGCCCTTGTGCCCTTGTCCCCCTAGGTCTCCCCACCCAGAACGCAAATCCTTAGGCCTCCTTAGGGTCTCCCTTTCCCAGGCCTGGCTCCAAGACTCCCACCCCCGAACCCACACTCCCCACCCCCCTGCAGCCACCACCAGTTGTGACCCTCTTTAGACACAAGTGCTCCAGTTGCAGAGACTGAGGGCTTGAGCTAAACCCTGAGTCCATCAAAGGTGGGACCAAAGAGAATCCCCTGAAGACTCAGGCCAAGTCTGTCAAGCTGGGGAGGCGGGCTCAGCCCCAGAAGAAACCCATAACCTTAGGGGCTCTGACAGGCCGCAGAGGCTCAGGGGTTGCTAGGGGCCCACTTGCTGGGAAGAGTGAGGCAAGAGGGAGGCTTCTTGGAGCAGGTGGGTGGGGATAGCATGCCCAGCTGAGAAAGGTTTAGGAGCAGGTCCACACGGTAGGGGGGTGGAGGGGAGTGAAGGGGGAAAGACGGGCAGGGGCATGATGCAGAGGGCCCCAACTGCCAGGCTAAGGATTTGTGGGGAGCCCCTGAGGGTTTAAGACTAGTGCAAGGCAGCCAGGGCGGGAAGAGATGGTGGGCGCACCAGGCCAGGTGGGAGGCTGTCCTCTGGGCAGCCAGGCCCTGGGGGGGTGAGGCCTGAATCTGGCTGCTATAATGGGATGGAAAGGAATTGGAAGGTTCCAGGGCCCTTCTAAAGGAAAATCAAATGTTAGGAAGGAGCAGGGTCTGGTGGTTTGACCTGTGGCCTCTCACGTAGCTCAGCTCCCCCGTACCCCTGCCTCATGATTGCCCCATGCCCTGAGAAGCAAGGACAGACCAGGGGGCTGAGCCAGGGGTATATGCCACCCAGGGCGGGGGCCCATGGTCGGGCGGACATCAGGAAGACACTGAGCGGGATTTTGATCTTGAACTTGGTACCCGCAGGAAGCCCTTGTTCCCAGATCTGGCAGCACCCACGTTACATGGCCAAGAAACGGGGTTCCGTGGTGTTAATAACGTGCTACATGGAGGCTGTGGGCGAAGTGAGCTGGCTCTGGACGCCGAAAATGGAATTGGAGCCCAACCCACTGCACTTGGAAGAGGGACGCATTGAACACTCCCAAACTAACACCAGTGTCACCCTCACCATTCGAGACATCCAGTTTCAGGACAACGGCATCTACTTCTGTCAGCAAAAGTGCTCGGGAGATTCCAGTGGGAAGGGCTGTGGCACCGAACTTCGAGTCTTGGGTGGGTTCAGGGCCTACCCTCAAGCCGGGGAGGGGAGTGGGAGTAGATGGGGCCACGGGGTGTTCATGGAGCCATCCACACCCCACCCCAGGCTGCCCCCAGTGAGGGGGCCATATTGTGGAGGCGGCCATGGCCCTAGGAGGTCTTCAGGTGTGCAGGCCCGAAGGGGGTGCCCAGTCTCACCATCCCTGCCCACCCCGCACCCCCAGGGTTCAGCACCGTGGCACAGTTGAAGCGGCGGAACACACTGAAAGACGGCATCATCATGATCCAGACCCTGCTCATCATCCTGTTTGTCATTGTGCCCATCTTCCTGCTGCTGGACAAGGTGACCTCAGGGGGGCCGGGAGGCAGCCACAGGGCAGGCCAGACGCAAGCAGGCTCCCCGCCTCCCCAGCCCCAGAGCCTGCCCAGTGACTCACCTGTTCAATCACTCCTTCACTCATTCAGTTCTTCTTCCAGAGTATACCTTACCCGCTAAGCCCTGACCCCTCACCCCTCATCCCAGGCCCATCTCCCTGGCCCTCCGCGGCCGGGCCAGGCAGTGGATGGGGTAGAAGCTAACACCTCTGCTCTCCAACTCTTGCTCCACCAGGATGACAGCAAGGCTGGAATGGAGGAAGATCACACCTACGAGGTAAGGAGCAGGGTGGACCCCACAGCTCTGAGGCCCGTGGCGGGTGGTCAACAGCATCATCTGTTGGTGTGGTCGGGCAGTGGCCAAGGCCTGAGCTCCATTCCATGTCTCTAGGGCCTGAACATTGACCAGACGGCCACCTACGAGGACATAGTGACTCTGCGGACAGGGGAGGTGAAGTGGTCGGTGGGTGAGCACCCAGGCCAGGAGTGAGAGGCCCGTCTTCCCCATGCCCCTGGGCACAGCCTGCTGTGCCCTCAGTGACTGCTTCAGAGCCGCCTGGCTCCCAGTCCATCCTCTTTTCCCTGGACCCCCTGTTGGCCTCCAAAACTGGCCCACCTGATCCTCCTGCCCCTCCAGCCCCTGGTCCCCAGCTCTTGTGAAGGGACTGGAGTGGAAGGGCCACAGGGCAGTGATTTGGAGCAGGGAGTTCTCTGGGGATAGACTGGACCCAGCCTTCTGGGGGTGCTATGTGGAGATCCACCCCATGTTCAGGATGGGGAAGGCAGAGACTTGTCTGGAACCTACAAAGGGACTAAGAACAGACTGGCTTCCTGTGAAGCCTGGGAAGGGCCGTGGCCCAGCACCACTTGACCACAGATGGGCCACCGAGAGCTTCATCCCGCTCCCACCCTCTTCCCCCCCAGGGGGCTCCTAGCCTTGAGCCCATTCTCCCATGGAATAAACAATGTATCTTGAGAAACCACACCCAGGCTTGTGACATCTATGGGTATGGGGTGAATGTGAGTATCTGTTTGAGCACAAATGTTTGGGCACCTGTGGGCCCGTGGAGCGTGGGCGGGGACAACTGCCATGGGGCTCCTGGACCTCTCCTGGGCTCACTTGCTACTTCTCTCTGAAGGTCCGGTTGGGACCCGTAGCCATCTCCTCCTTTCTTCCCCTGCTCTGACCCTAGCTGGGCCCTGAAGGAGCTTACCCTCCTCCATTCATCCCAATCCTACTGTCTTTCAAGGTCCTCCGCATATGGGAAGCCCTTCCAAAGCGCCCCAGTTCCTATTTGGACCCCAGCCTCTGCAGCTCCGGCTTAGCTCTAGCCGTGTGCTGCCCATGCTGCCCATGCTGGCCTTGTTCTCCAGTGAAACCAGAAGCTGCCTGAGTTCTCCTGCCTCTACCACCCCTGCTACCCCCTGGCCCCCACCAAGCCTGGAAATGTTTGTTGTTGTTTGACCCAGGCCCGTGTAAGTGAGAGACTCCTAAAGAGGGAGGCTTTGTGGTGGTGAACTTTAGGAGGCCTGAGTCAGTGACCCCTTCACTTTCCAGTCATCACATCAGAAGCCCCCTAGGGTTACAAGGTCACCACAAAATGGTCCCTAGGGCCCTGCAAAATAGGGCCCCAACCTGCCAGCTGCTGGAGTGACTGGGAGCAGCTCACACCTGGGAACTCAAGCACAGTGAACCTCTGTGTGCAAAGCCAGGCTGTGCTTTACTTCCTGTTGACCTTGGGGAGACCCCCAAACACCTCTCTGCCATTCATGCTCTGGATTCAGGTGAGAGAAATCTCTGCCCTCAGGGAGCTGCCAATTTAACTTGACAGAGCTGAAGCCAACCTGTGGGGACCAGTGAGAGCAACACCAGCTTTCCCCTGGAACTCCAGGTAGGGCAGGTGGCTAAGTCATCCAGGCATGGGGTTTCAAGTCGATCTCTCCATTGTTCAGTGACACCCCCCACCCCTCGGAACCAGGCTAGGCTGAGCCGGGCCAGGCCCACTCCCTCCCTGGTCTCTGGGTTGCCAGAGGGACCTGGCTTGTTTTGGCATCTGCCTCCACTGAGCTGGAGCCCTTCCTCTCCTTCTGCTTTGCATAGTGGCGCTAATTCTGTCCTCCTAGCTCCACCGGGGACCGTGGGCAACACGGCTGGGTGTGGGGGGGAGTCTTCACTTCTCCCCCCTGCAGGGTCTCCCCCTGCTTGGGGCTGCCCTGAGTTGGGGGAGGCTTTGGCGTTACGAAAGGCCGCTTAATTCCTTTGAATAACTGAGTTTCCCTAACGCAGAGATTCATTTGAGCAGCGAGGCCCGCCTCCTCCACCAGATGAAGGGCGTTTGCCTTCATGCTTATGATCTAGAAGCCCCCTCTGGTCTTTTGTTTTCTTTTTTAGAGTGTTGTTACGTCTGTCTCGTGGGTCCATGGGCCCCAGAACTGACTTAGGTGGTGGAAACAAAGCTAGGTGATGCTGGTGAGGATGATGAATATCTCAGGTCTCATTTGCTTTATCTGCCAAATGGGAACCATAAAACCTGTCTGAGGGAAGGGACTTGAACCAGGTGCTGTTTTTTTGGTGTTTTTTTTTTTAATTATCATACAGTAAAATTGACTTTGTTTCCTTTTGGTGCACAGTTTAATGAATTCTAGCACATGGACAGTTTTCTAGAGCCACCATCACAGTCAAGATACAGAACACAAATCAAAATCTTTTACCGGGCCCCCCAAATATTTATTTATTGAGCACCTCTTAATGCCCATAAAATTTTATTGAGCATCTCTCTATTCACTTACATGATCTTGCGTTTAAGCCCCAGCATACCCAGAAGGGGTACCATCTTTGCCAAGGTTTTCCATGGTTCTCAAGTCCCAAAGCCCTGAAGACCCCACTCCTTCCTAATAGGCCTAATGTCTGCCACTAACATCCTCTTGGATGCCAGCTCTGGGCCACTGTTCAGCCCTCCCCTTCCCCAGAATGCAGCCCTGAGGCCCCTTGGTGGGCACATGCCCCACTGCCCACTGGGGGAATCCAGCCTGATCCCTCGGGGCCTGGGTGTAAGCACAGGCTGCTTCCTCCTCTGGTCTAGCTTGACTTCCGGCCCTCTCACTGCAGGTGCTGCTAGGCCTGGGGTGCTCTGACTCTGGGGTTTGGGTGTTTTTCCAGCAGATTGGAGATGAGAGAAAAACAAACCAAAACGCAAAAAGCTGCCTCTGTTTGGGTATCACTGGCAGGTCGCATTCATCCCTTAGCAGTTGTCCAACCTGCCTGGGTCCTCTGTGTAGGGCTTCAAAGGCCATCTCGGCATACAGGGTTTGGGGGTCCTGGGCTGTGTCCGCACGTGCTATGCTCTCTTTAGTTGACCTCAGTAGCTATATTCAGGACCACATCAATGAAATTCCTGTATTTGTCTCTGCTCTCCATGTTGCATCCTGGGGACCTGCCATTGACTTGGTAGCGAACAAAAACAAAAAATAACAATAACATACCTTCCGCTTGGAACACCTCAGCTGCCCTTTCCAACTCAAAAGCCTTTACTTGTTAACTCAGGTGACTCCACAGAGAAAACTGAACAAGCATTCAATCCTGAATTCAGAGTCATTTGTTAAAGCACATTTAGATGGATCCTGATGCAATTTTCAAAAACAAAACAAAACAAACAAAAAAACCCCACGTCTTTCTCTGGGACCTGACACCACTTTCTCACATGGCAGGAATGGGAGGGCTAGACACCTGGTGAGGTCCTGCTTAGGGCTCATGGTTCTACAAGTTGTAAGTATGCATAGAACATTTGTGTGTACTTGGGATCCGCATATGCACACTGCCTTGTCTACTTTTTTTTATGTAAATGTTTTCATGTACGTATTGCCATGCATTGCAAGACCCTGGACTTATTATTTTTAGTACTTGTTATTTTAAATTCAGTCTACTATGAAGAGGACATTGTGACACAGCGTGGTCTGCCTTGTCATTTCTGGCAGGGTGGATAGTTGAGTTCTTTCCTTGGCACTGTCCTTCTAACCATTCAGTCCACTCAGCAGATGCTTGTTGAGTTCCTAGGCCTGGGACCATGGCAGCTGCCAGTTCTCCCCACTCCCCGGGCTATTCTCTCACTTCTATATCTTAGCTATTTCCTTCCTGGCAGTTTTCATGATGTGAAATGTCTGTATATATTTTACCATTATGTATTTATTTGTTTGCTATTGTCTCTCTTCCACATAGATTGTAAGCTCCCGCAGAGAAAGGATCGTATCTTTTGTTCAACTGCATATGCCCATCTGCCTGGTACAATGTCTGGCGTGTGGAAGGAGCAACAACTACTTATTGAATCAGTTAGTGCTTGAATAAGAGAATGGGTGAATGAATGGATGGATGAAAGGCATGAATCCAGCCTCAAAGAGCTTACAGTCCCATAAGGAGGATAAGATGCCCACAAGTAACCACAGAATAAGGTAAAAGGAGGTAGAAGTTATTTCCAGCTGAGGTCACCCATCAGGAAAGCACCCCAGACTTCCCACAGCTGCTGGACACTCCTCAGCTCTTATGACTTCTCTTTCAGTGGGACTGTCTCCCTGGGGAAGAATCCCCAATGTGTAAATTACTTTGTAGGTCCAGTTATGGAGATTGCTATGCACGTCTAGATTGTTCAGAGATTTTCCACCAATGTAAACAACACCCTCCAAGGCCTGTCCTCCATGCTTGAACCCTCTGGCCAACCCAAGGGTCTGATGAGATAAAGGAAGTGAAAACATGATGTACACTGAAACGTGCAATACAAATGTGAAGGGTAATGTGGCTTGGTTCATTAAATCGGGCCACCACGGGTTGTTTTTCTGCCACTTTTCTTGGTGCCCGTGGACCTCATTTGGGGCTGAATTGCCCCCACCTTCTTTGAACACCTGAGTGGGGACTTGATGCTGTCCTGCTAGCTTTGCACTGAGGAAAGTTCTGCCCACACCCAGTGGCGCCACTATCTTTCCTGGATGAGGCTTCTAAAGAGCCTGGCACCGTGGGAACACCGGGCCCTGGGCAGCCATCACTTAGGAGCTGGGAGTCTCCAAGCAAACTGCTTTATCTCTTTGAGCCTGTGCAGCCTCACTTCCCTCTCGCCCAGTACAGTTCCTGGCACATGGTGGGCACGCAGAAATGTTGATCTCCTTCCCCATCTTCCCTGGAGAAGCCCTTGGGAATCCCCACATAATATTCTCTAAAGACCTTGACCCAATGCCCTGAGTGATCGGAGTGGTGCTCAGACCCATGCTGGAAGCAGAGAAGAAGTAAAGTATGTCCTGGGGGGCAATCCCAGCCTCTGGCTTCAAGGAAAGCAGGACAGATTGAGTAGTGGGAAGTGTGGGCCTCAAGTGACCAAAGGGGAGTAGAAAGAGCTGCCACCAGTCCCTTTGAGGCTGTCCCTAAGATCAGGGTGAGTGTGACCCTAAATAATGAGATGGCCCCAAACTCCACAGACTTGAAGCCTGAAAGAGGCCATTTCGGATCGAGAGTATATCTGTGAGCTTCCACGGTAGGTACAGAGAACCCCAGAGGTGGTCAAATGTGGAAATAGGAAGGGCTTCCCAACACACTGAAATTCATGGATTCCAAGATAATGGGGGATTCATCCCGAGCCTTTCCAGGCTGACCTCATTGACGGTACTCACAGCTTCTCACTGGCCATCATGCAGAGGCCATTGGTGGGCAGTCTCTGAACCTGGAGAAGCAGGGTCTGGCCCCAGGTGATGCCCCAAGAAATGGTGGGTGACTCCCCAGCACTGGAGGGAAAATCCCATCTAATTCAAAATGTATCTTCTAGTAGCAATGAATCATAGATGTGGTCTCCATCTCTAAAGACCCTGGAAAGGTCCAGACTGGAACAAAGGATCACCAACGTCCACCCCACATCCTTCAGTTCTTCCCTCTTTAGGTCTAATGGTTGCCTCCATGGAAACTGTTTGTAAAGGTATATTCCCAGGGGTCCCCAGAGTCCCATGGACCAACCTAGTTCTGGGGTCAACGGAAGTGGGTTTGCTGAGAGAAGATGCTCCCTGCCCTGGCTGGTCCCATCTGCTCTTGGCAATAACCTGCCTGCTGGGAAGCCTCGGCCACACTTCACTTGTGCCCACCTTGTGTGGCTCTCAAGCAGTCCCCAGCTTAGGCTCTGTACCCTCGCACCTAGCGGAGGCATAGGGCTTTTCTCCCATGGTCCGCAGTTCACATACAAGTTCCCCCAGCATTAGCTCGAAGCCTGTCAAGAGGGGTTCCACATCAGTGACCCTAGTCATGCCTATTGTGTGGCCTCCGACGTGCACCCCGTGTGTCTGGGCCATTCTCACCTGGAAAATGAGAGACAAAAATCTGTCCTTTAGGGGAGGACAAGACGAGGCAAAAGGGTTCTTGTGATTAGGGGTAGGATCCCTGTGTTCAGAGGGATGCGAAGTTAAAATAACCAAAGGGCTCCCACCCCGTGTGCTTTGGAGAAAGGGCTTGGCATGATGCAACATGGGAAGAGACTTTGGAGATCTGCTGCCTTGGCTGAGGTAGCTCGTGCAAGTCAGCCTCTCTGACCTCTGGTCTCTTCCTCTGTGAAATGGGGTGATAATAACACTTCCTTTGCAAGATGGTCGCGAGGGTCAAACGTGAGAATGTATAGGCATGCTCCTCACAGCCTGATAAGCTCTATACAAATATTTTTTAAAAGACAGAATGGTAGAAGACTACAATGGCTGGAGACAGCATCTTTCCGGGTGCTGTACCCTGAGTTCCAGCACTAGGGACAAGGCTCAAGCTCTCGAGGTCTCTTCCAACTTTGAGATTTCCTGATGGTGACAGGGCTGCAGAAGGAACCACGTGTGGCACCTGTGTTCTCGGGATTTCTGCTTGTAAGTTTGCATCTCTGTGCAGGTCCATACCTCAAGTTTTGGTCCTTTTTGCACCCTCCCTGGGGGAACCCCAACGTTAAGGGAAAGGGGAGGGCAGTGTGTGGGGCCCTCTAGTGGTCAGTATTAGCATGGCATCCAACTGCCTAAGGCCAGACCAGGTGGTGGGATGGCCTGAGGATGGTGATAGAGAAGATAGAATCTGGGGCTGAACTGTGCCCAGAAATCCCAGAGCCTGCTGTCTCGGCCCCCTTTTCCAACACACATTCTCTCTAGTGAGTGGAGGGGAGCAATGCAAGGAAGAGGAAAGTGTTATCAGAATGAGGAAGGGGTCGGCACAGCCATCCTGACACAGCCCCCCTTTTGGTGACCAGGTTATGTCCTCCTCACCCTGGTAGACAACTTCACGGTGATATTCTGCCAGTGTGCGCGTGGACTCAGACTACTCCCTTCTGCCACCTCCCTCTTAAAAAGAGGACAGATTGAGTGGTCTCTGTAGCCGAGACCCAGCGTGTGCTAGTGACGGTGGAGAGGGGAAGATGACAAACGTGGGGGACATGATCCCAGGAGAGGAGCGGGAACAGGGTGAGTGGGAGGAGGTTCTAAATTATCCATCAGTAGCCCCATGCATAAATGTACAGAGAACACAGGTAAGGCGAGGGGGAGCGAGAAGGAGCCAGGGTATAAAAAGGGCCCGCATGAGCTCAATTCCAGGATCCTAGGACCCAGCTCCCCAAACTGCTCAGGGACCTGAGGACAGCTCACCCAGCTGGCATGGCTGCAGGTAGGGACCCCTAAAATCCCCTTGGGCTTGGTGTGTACTGACGGGTGATACGCAGACTCTGCAGATGGATGGGGGCGCTAACCCTGGGCTTTGGGACTTCTGAATACAAGCATAGACATCTATGCCCAGACAGCTGGCCAAGTATAAATGCTCTCAGTCCCTGCGGGAATGGGAGGAGAAAGGAAAGGCCCCTGGGGCAGGGAGAGGGTGGGCAGGAGACCAAGGCTGCCTGCTCTCTGGGCCCCTGCCTCAACCTCCATGCCTCGCTCTAGGACCTCGGACCTCCGTGCTCCTGGCTTTCACCCTGCTCTGCCTGCCCTGGCCTCAGGAGGTGGACGCCTTTCCCAACATGCCCTTGTCCAGCCTGTTCGCCAACGCTGTGCTCAGGGCTCAGCACCTGCACCAACTAGCTGCTGACACCTACAAAGAGTTTGTAAGCTCCCCAGGAATGGGTGCTGGTGGGGGGGGGTAGCAGGAAGGGGTAAATCTGCCTCCAAGGCATAACGGGAGGAAACTGATGAGTTCAGTTTATCCAAGTGAAGATGCTGCCAGGTGAGCATAAACTGAGGGGGATTCCCGATAAAGCAGTGATGAGAACTGTACACCGGCTTACACCTGGGCGGGCGTTCCTTCTCCCAGGAGCGCACGTACATCCCAGAGGGACAGAGATATTCGATCCAGAACGCCCAGGCTGCCTTCTGCTTCTCAGAGACCATCCCAGCCCCCACCGGCAAGGACGAGGCCCAGCAGAGATCTGTGAGTGGCTGCCACGGCCCAGCCAAGCAACAGAGGCCTCCCTCTTTCTAAGGTCGCCCCTTCTCTCTGCAGGAGCCCTGGCAACCCTGCCTGCACCCGGGCCCTGGGCCGCCTTCACCATGAGGTGGCATGGCGGAGGGTAGCAGTGGGGTGGCAGGAGAAGGCCTGAGGGCAGGGCTGCCGGGTACCCACCACCCACCCCCTCCCTGCAGGACATGGAGCTGCTCCGCTTCTCGCTGCTGCTCATCCAGTCATGGCTCGGGCCTGTGCAGTTCCTCAGCAGGGTCTTCACCAACAGCCTGGTGTTCAGCACCTCAGATCGCGTCTATGAGAAGCTGAAGGACCTGGAGGAAGGCATCCAAGCCCTGATGCGGGTGGGGATGGCACTGTGGGTCCCCAACCCTGGGGGCCATGTCCACCCTTCTCCTGGGCGTGGAGGTCCAGCTGGCTTAGCTGAGGGGTGGGGGGCTTACATGGGCTGGAGAAGAGAGACACTGCTGCTCTCTTTGTAGCAGGCCGGCTTTGACCCAGGAGAAATCTTACTCCTCCTTTCCCGTTTTGAATCCCCCACACCTTTCTCTAAGCCTTGGAAGGGAGGGAGGGACATGGAGGGGAAGAGAGGGAGCAGCACACAAGGACTGAGTCTCTGTCCCTCCTTCCCTTTTGCAGGAGCTGGAAGATGGCAGCCCCCGGGCTGGGCAGATCCTCAAGCAAGCCTACGACAAATTTGACACCAACTTGCGTAGTGACGACGCACTGCTCAAGAACTACGGGCTGCTCTCCTGCTTTAAGAAGGACCTGCACAAGGCTGAGACGTACCTGCGGGTCATGAAGTGTCGCCGCTTCGTGGAAAGCAGCTGTGCCTTCTAGCTGCTGGCCATCTCTGTTACCCCTCCCCAGGGCCTCCCCTGACCCTGGAAAGTGCTCCTCCAGTGCCCACTGTCCTTTCCTAATAAAATAAAACTGCATCATGTTGTCTGAGTAGGTGTCATTCTATTAGGAAGGGGGTGGGGCTGGTGCATATGGGGCAAGGGACAGGGTGGGAAGGCAACCTGCAGGGGTCTATTGGGACCCAGGCCGCTGGCTGATACCTGACCCGGTTCTTCCTGAGTGGGAAGAAGCTGACATGTTCGCTCTTGTCTGTCATACAAGTCCACTCCCTGGGTCCGAGGTCCCAGCTTGCTGGGCAGTCATAGGTGAGCCACCCCCATAAAGTATTTGGAGGCGTTTCTCGCCTCCTGTTTCAGCACCACAATGCCAAACCTAGGCCCCAAGAGTGGGAAGAAATGAAAGCAAAACAACTGTGATGTACAGGAGCAAAATGCCCCAACGTGAAAAAACAATGAAAGAAATCATAGAATTACTTTATCTTAGTATTACTAAATAAATATTACTTTATTTAGAAATCATAGAATTATTGCAGAAATTTTAAGGTGAATATACATTAGGCCTAGCTACCCTTAGGAAACCGGGAACAAGGCAATATGGCTCTGGGACAAACAGAACCAGAATTGTTTTGGGATCTGAAATGAGGCAAGGGAAGTGAAGATTCTAAATTGGGGGTTGCAAATTCAGTGCCGACAGGTGCCAGGTAGATAATTGCATAAGTAATGACAGCTGACTGTGAAGGGATAAATTGGAACTGATGCTCAGCCTCTTTGTAAAGGATAAAACACCGAAGGGTGGGGACCAGAGCGACCTAAAGAACTCAGGCGTCGGCTAAGATGGGGCCTAGCCAGCCTTGTCATTCAGGACTGCAGGGGCCTGGTTGCCAGACCATCTGACTCTTTAAGACAGGTAGACCATCGGGACCTCAATGTGAAATCTACTTTTTAAACATTGGCAATTAATTCATATTGAAAACATTTGAAGGGAAAAATTAAGCCAAACACATTTGATCTTCAAGCAGTCAGTGAGCAGTTTGTTCTAAGAGCAGTGGATTAGGATACCTTGGTCCAAGGGAAAGAATCAGAAAGACTTGGACTTTAATTCATGCTCATAATAGATTATTTAACTTCCCTGAGAAACAGTTTCCTCACCTATAAAATGGAGATACTAATAAATTGCCTTACAAGGCTCATGTGAGGATTACATAAAATGATGTTTCTGAAGTGGTTGACACATTACAGCACTCAAGAAATTGCCACTGTTTTGCATTGAATTTTGGGAGGGTTCCATGTTTTTTGATGGAATGTTTAAATACTTATTTTTAAATATATTCTATTTTCCTAATGGCATCTCAAATATTTTTCTTTTTTTAATTTCCAAATGAACTTAAAAGGTCACCCAAGCACCTTGGCTAAGTAAGAAGTGAATTGTGAATCCATACTTAAATCCTCAAAGTAACTCTATTACCCAAACATGATTTTACACATTCAGTATTTCTTTTGCAATACAAATGACCAACTTACTAATTAACCTTCCTGCAAAGTTCAGATTTTTATCTGCTATAATGAATTTTCTTTGACATAAGACCCACCTGTATTCATTTTAGATATTTTACATTTAGTAACCTAAGTCCTTGGGGGTGGTTGAAAGTTGGAATAGTCAGAACCCCAGACCTCCATTTCTTAGCTCAGAAACCGTTCGTCTGCCTTAGATCATTCTTTTATTGTCTGACCTTACAGTCATGGCGTTTTGGAGTTAGAAGGGCATTCTAATTCCTTCTAATTTAGGAATCTTACTCTGTGGCACTCTTTATAGCCAACTTGTGTGGCATTAGCATCAAGGGGATCACTATTTCGACTCACTCTACTAAACTGCCAATTTCAGAGAAGCATTTCTTATATTAAGCGGAAATCAATATCCCTGTAATATCCTTCATTTGGCCTTAGAATTATTTAGAAATCTCATAGTCTTAAGAAGTTGATGTAATTATAATTAGCACAAATATATTTATCTCTTGGCTTGAATAAGTGTTTCAAAAGGAAATGTGAGCCATCTTAAGAAGTATTTGTTGAATGAGTGTGGCAGGAGAGGGGTGCTAGAGAGGTGTTAATAGCTATTAGGAAGAGGATTCTAAAGTGGGGTTGTCATGACAGCAGTTGACTGCAGGGGGATCCACACTCCAGAGAGTGTCGGTTCAGCTCCTTCTGGGTATTGCTGAATCAAGTCAACCCCTGCTGGTTGAGAATTCCAGGGGTGCTAGTTGATTTTGCAAAATTCTAGAATTTAAAAAGACCTTAAACCAGCAGCCGCCGTGAGCGGCAGTCTAGAAGCCGGGCGACTGATCTGCCTCGCCCTGGAGGAGTTCAATGATGGTGCCAACTTGGGCCAGTGAAGCAACGTCCTCCACAACTAGACTGAAGAACAAAAGGACAGCAACTTGTCTGTTCCCCTTCCCCAATTCTCCAGCGCTGTTCCCATCCCCCAATTCCCCAATAAAAATCTTTCAAAACAAAAAAACAACAACAAAAAACCCTTAAAGACTACCTACCCTAACCTCTTCGATTTGACAAATATTATTCTGTCTTTCAGCCCTTCAATTAAGCAGTGGATGGCAACCCCCACTGCAAATGAGAAATGCCTGGGATGTTTTCTAAACAACTCTTAACAGTAGTGGCCTCCACTTCCAGCGATTCTGACTTGATTGGTCTGGGAAAGGATCCAGGTAAGAGTGTTTTTAAAAGCCCCCCAGGTGAGTCTAAAGTGCAAACTAGGTTGAGGACTATGGAGTTAGGGACCACAAAGATGAGATACACGTGTCACAGCTATTGTACTGTAAAAAGGGGCAAAAGGAGATGAAAGACCTGGGCCAGTTGTGGCTCTCCCTGTGTCTAATCAGTCATTAAATTTTTTTCTAATAAGCCAGTAACAAAAAGACAAGAACTGTGTGATGTCTTTCATATGAGGTACTCAGAGTAGTCAAATTTGGAGACAGAAAGTAGAATGGTGGTTACCAGGGGTGGGGGCCGGGGGAATGGGGAATTGTTTAGCGGGTTCAGAGTTTCAGTTTTGCAAAATGAAAAGAGTTCTGGAGATTGGTTGCATAACAATGTGAACGTACTTGACATTATTGAGCTATACTCTTGAAACGTTTAAGATGGTAAATTTTATGTTATGTCTATTTTACCACAATTTGAACATTTTTCAAAATATTTTCTAGTGAAAAATCGTCCTGAGGGTAAGATTTGTACGAGAAAGGGTTCAATAGGCAGAGCTCAAGTAATCTTAGACCCCTAAGAATAATGTTTTTCTGACTCCATGTAACCTTTTAAATTTACTCTAACCTAAAACGGCCACTTCTGAATTTCCTCCATCAGCACTGCTGAAACACATCTAGTGACTTTTGTCCTTTTAGATACATTTCCCCTTTCTTCACAAGTCCTCCTAAGAATTACAAGACCTAGGCTTCTGGGTCAAGCAAACATGACACTTGGCCTTGCAGCTTTTTAAATTCAGACTCCTCCAGGTCCCCTCTCCCCGCCTCCTGCACACACAGACGCGCGCGCGCACACACACACACACACACACACACACACACACACACACACACACTGAGAAACATTTTGAGTGACACCAGTATTAGTCACCAACTCATGCATGTTTGCAAGAGGCTTTCCAAGTTTTAGTGCTGGAAGTCCCATGTCCCCTCAGCTTAATGCAAACTGGAACAATTTATCATCCTACTAGTAGTCCTGAATCTTAGGGAACAAAAGAAAGGGGGAAAGTAGAGGAAGGAAAGGAATAGAAAAGGAGAAAGAGAGAGCAGAATGGAAAAGAGAAAGAAGGTGTCCATGGTATGCATGTCTTTTGATGGCCCTCAATGGTTGCCATGGCTTTCTGACTGTTGCTTTGAGCTTATTAGAATTATGGGTATGATTACCACCAGCATTATTAGTGTACTAATACAAGCTTGGGCCGGCCGAGTGGCACGTTGGTTAAGAACTGGCTTGGGACGCCAGAGGGCCCCGGTTCGGATCCCACATATGAGGGCCAGTGACACTGCCCTCTACAGCTAAGATGCTG